ATTTCGCCGCTAGCGGCCAAAAATCGTTCAAATCTCGACGCTAGCGGTAAAAAATCGTGCGAATTTCGCCGCTAGCGGCCAAAAATCGCGCGATTTTCGCCGCTAGCGGCCAGAAACTATGCGATTTTTGCAGCTGGCGGGCAAAAATCGCTCGAATTTCGCCGCTACCTGCCAAAAATCGACCGATTTTCGACCCTAGCGGCCAAAACAGGGGCTATTTTCGCCGCTAGCGGCCAAAAAAGGAGCTATTTTCGCCGCTAGCGGCCAAAAATGAGGCGATTTTCGCCGCTTGCGGCCAAAAATCGTGCGATTTTCACCGCTAGCAGCCAGAAACTATGCGATTTTTGCAGCTGGCGGGCAAAAACAGCGCGATTTTCGCCGCTACCTGCCAAAAACCGCGCGATTTTCGCCTCTAGCGGCCAAAAACCATGCGATTTTCGCAGCTGGCGGGCAAAAACTGCGCGATTTTCGCCGCTAGCGGCCAGAAACTATGCGATTTTTGCAGCTGGCGGGCAAAAATCGGGATTTTCGCCGCTACCGGCCAAAAATAACGCGATTTTCGCCGCTAGCGGCCAAAAACCGTGCGATTTTCGCCGCTAGCGGCCAAAAATCGGGCGGTTTTTGCGGCTACCGGCCAAAAATCGACCGATTTTCGCCGCTAGCGGCTAAAAAACGGGCTATTTTCGCCGCTAGCGGGCAAAAATGGGGCGATTTTCGCCGCTAGCGGCCAAAAATCGTGCGAATTTCGCCGCTAGCGGCCAAAAATCGTGCGATTTTCGCCGCTAGCGGCCAAAAATCGTGCTATTTTCGCCGCTAGCGGCCAGAAACTGTGCGATTTTTGTAGCTGGCTGGCAATAATAGCGCGATTTTCGCCGCTAGCGGCCAAAAACCGCGCGATTTTCGCCGCTAGCGGCCAAAAACATGCGATTTTCGCAGCTGGCGGGCAAAAATCGCGATTTTCGCCGCTACCGGCCAAAAATAGCGCGATTTTCGCCTCTAGCAGCCAAAAACCATGCGATTTTCGCAGCTGGCGTGCAAAAATCGCGATTTTCGGCGCTACCGGCCAAAAATACCGCGATTTTCGCCGCTTGCGGCCAAAAACCGTGCGATTTTCGCCGCTAGCGGCCAAAAATCGGGCGATTTTTGCCGCTAATGGCCGAAAACCGCGCTATTTTCGACGCTAGCGGCCAGAAACCATGCGATTTTTGCAGCTGGCGGGCAAAAATCGCACGAATTTCGCCGCTACCTGCCAAAAATCGACCGATTTTCGCCGCTAGCGGCCAAAAAAACGGGCTATTTTCGCCGCTAGCAGCCAAAAATGGGGCAATTTTCGCCGCTAACGGCCAAAAATCGCAAATTTCGACGCTAGCGGCCAAAAATCGTGCGAATTTCGCCGCTAGCGGCCAAAAATCGTTCAAATCTCGACGCTAGCGGTAAAAAATCGTGCGAATTTCGCCGCTAGCGGCCAAAAATCGCGCGATTTTCGCCGCTAGCGGCCAGAAACTATGCGATTTTTGCAGCTGGCGGGCAAAAATCGCTCGAATTTCGCCGCTACCTGCCAAAAATCGACCGATTTTCGACCCTAGCGGCCAAAACAGGGGCTATTTTCGCCGCTAGCGGCCAAAAAAGGAGCTATTTTCGCCGCTAGCGGCCAAAAATGAGGCGATTTTCGCCGCTTGCGGCCAAAAATCGTGCGATTTTCGCCGCTAGCAGCCAGAAACTATGCGATTTTTGGAGCTGGCGGGCAAAAACAGCGCGATTTTCGCCGCTACCGGCCAAAAACCGCGCGATTTTCGCCGCTAGCGGCCAAAAACCATGCGATTTTCGCAGCTGGCGGCAAAAACTGCGCGATTTTCGCCGCTAGCGGCCAAAAACTATGCGATTTTTGCAGCTGGCAGGCAAAAATCGCGATTTTCGCCGCTACCGGCCAAAAATCGCGCGATTTTCGCCGCTAGCGGCCAAAAACCGTGCGATTTTCGCCGCTAGCGGCCAAAAATCGCGGTTTTTGCGGCTACCGGCCAAAAATCGCGCGATTTTCGCCGCTAGCGGCTAAAAAACGGGCTATTTTCGCCGCTAGCGGGCAAAAATGGGGCGATTTTCGCCGCTAGCGGCCAAAAATCGCGATTTTCGCCGCTAGCGGCGAAAATCGCGCGATTTTCGCCGCTAGCGGCCAGAAATCGTGCGATTTTTGTAGCTGGCGGCAAAAATAGCGCGATTTTCGCCGCTAGTGGCCAAAAACCATGCGATTTTCGCCGCTAGCGGCCAAAAACATGCGATTTTCGCAGCTGGCGGGCAAAAATCGCGCGATTTTCGCCGCTACCGGCCAAAAATAGCGCGATTTTCGCCGCTAGCAGCCAAAAACCATGCGATTTTCGCAGCTGGCGTGCAAAAATCGCGATTTTCGGCCGCTACCGGCCAAAAATCGCGCGATTTTCGCCGCTTGCGGCCAAAAACCGTGCGATTTTCGCCGCTAGCAGCCAAAAATCGGGCGATTTTTGCCGCTAATGGCCGAAAACCGCGCTATTTTCGCCGCTAGCGGCCAGAAATAGCGCGTTTTTTGCCGCTGGCGGGCAAAAATCGCACGATTTTCGCCGCTACCTGCCAAAAATCGACCGATTTTCGCCGCTAGCGGCCAAAAAAAATCGCTATTTTCGCCGCTAGCAGCCAAAAATGGGGCGATTTTCGCCGCTAGCAGCCAGAAATCGCGCGATTTTCGCCGCTAGCGGCCAGAAACTATGCGATTTTTGCAGCTGGCGGGCAAAAACAGCGCGATTTTCGCCGCTACCTGCCAAAAACCGCGCGATTTTCGCCTCTAGCGGCGAAAACCATGCGATTTTCGCAGCTGGCGGGCAAAAACTGCGCGATTTTCGCCGCTAGCGGCCAGAAACTATGCGATTTTTGCAGCTGGCGGGCAAAAATCGGGATTTTCGCCGCTACCGGCCAAAAATAACGCGATTTTCGCCGCTAGCGGCCAAAACCCGTGCGATTTTCGCCGCTAGCGGCCAAAAATCGGGCGGTTTTTGCGGCTACCGGCCAAAAATCGACCGATTTTCGCCGCTAGCGGCTAAAAAACGGGCTATTTTCGCCGCTAGCGGGCAAAAATGGGGCGATTTTCGCCGCTAGCGGCCAAAAATCGTGCGAATTTCGCCGCTAGCGGCCAAAAATCGCGCGATTTTCGCCGCTAGCGCCCAGAAACTATGCGATTTTTGCAGCTGGCGGGCAAAAATCGCTCGAATTTCGCCGCTACCTGCCAAAAATCGACCGATTTTCGCCGCTAGCGGCCAAAAAAGAGGCTATTTTCGCCGCTAGCGGCCAAAAAAGGGGATATTTTCGCTGCTAGCGGCCAAAAATGAGGCGATTTTCGCCGCCAGCGGCCAGAAACTATGCGATTTTTGCAGCTGGCGGGCAAAAACAGCGCGATTTTCGCCGCTACAGGCCAAAAACCGCGCGATTTTCGCCTCTAGCGGCCAGAAACCATGCGATTTTTGAAGCGGGCGGGCAAAAATCGCGATTTTCGGCGCTATTGGCCAAAAATAGCGCGATTTTCGCCGCTAGCGGCCAAAAACCGTGCGAATTTCGCCGCTACCGGTCAAAAACCGCGCGATTTTCGCTGCTAGCGGCCAGAAACTATGCGATTTTTGCAGCTGGCGGGCAAAAATAGCGCGATTTTCGCCGCTACCGGCCAAAAACCGCGCGATTTTCGCCGCTAGCGGCCAAAGACATGCGATTTTCGCAGCTGGCGGGCAAAAATCGCGATTTTCGCCGCTACCGGCCAAAAATAGCGCGATTTTCGCCGCTAGCGGCCAAAAACCATGCGATTTTCGCAGCTGGCGGGCAAAAATCGCGACTTTTGCTGCTACCAGCCAAAAATAGCGCGATTTTCGCCGCTAGCGGCCAAAAATCGTGCGAATTTCGCCGCTATCGGCCAAAAACCGCGCGATTTTCGCCGCTAGCGGCCAGAAACTATGCGATTTTTGCAGCTGGCGGGCAAAAATCGCGATTTTCGCCGCTATTGGCCAAAAATAGTGCGATTTTCGCCGCTAGCGGCCAAAAACCGTGCGATTTTCGCCGCTAGCGGCCAAAAATCGAGTGGTTTTTGCGGCTACCGGCCGAAAACCGCGCTATTTTCGACGCTACCGGCCAAAAACCGCGCGATTTTCGCCGCTAGCGGCCAAAAACATGCGATTTTCGCAGCTGGCGGGCAAAAATCGCGATTTTCGCCGCTACCGGCCAAAAATAGCGCGATTTTCGCCGCTAGCGGCCAAAAACCGTGCGATTTTCGCCGCTAGCGGCCAAAAATCGGGCGGTTTTTGCGGCTAACGGCCAAAAACCGCGCTATTTTCGACGCTAGCGGCCAGAAACCATGCGATTTTTGCAGCTGGCGGGCAAAAATCGCGCGAATTTCGCCGCTACCTGCCAAAAATCGACCGATTTTCGCCGCTAGCGGCCAAAAAAGGGGCTATTTTTGCCGCTAGCGGCCAAAAATGGGGCGATTTTCGCAGCTAGCGGCCAAAAATCGTGCAAATTTCGACGCTAGCGGCCAAAAATCGTGCGAATTTCGCCGCTAGCGGCCAAAAATCGCGCGATTTTTGCTGCTAGCGGCCAGAAACTATGCGATTTTTGCAGCTGGCGGGCAAAAATAGTGCGATTTTCGCCGCTACCGTCCAAAAACCGCGCAATTTTCACAGCTAGCGGCCAAAATCGCGATTTTCGCAGCTGGCGGGCAAAAATCGCGATTTTCGCCGCTACCGGCCAAAAATAGCGCGATTTTCGCCGCTAGCGGCCAAAAACCATGCGATTTTCGCAGCTGGCGGGCAAAAATCGCGACTTTTGCCGCTACCGGCCAAAAATAGCGCGATTTTCGCCGCTAGCGGCCAAAAACCGTGCGATTTTCGCCGCTAGCGGCCAAAAAACGGGCGGTTTTCGCCGCTAGCGGCCAAAAATCGCGCGATTTTCGCCGCTAGCGGCCAGAAACTACGCGAAAGTATTTTAAGTATAAAGTATTTTAAACATATCTCCACTGGGAAACATTGTGATACTTATTTGATGAAAATAGCACAAACCTAAAATACTAATGTGACTATTTAAGAGATCATTCTTTTTTTGTTTGGCTCGAGTAGTTGCAATCATTAAAATATCAAATATACTAGTTTATTAAGAATATTTACATTGAATGTATCGGTAATCTTTAACTTGTTAGTACTGTATAGTACTGTAAATTTATACCAGAATAAGAATAAGAATAGTGAACCAGATACTGATGTTCTGGGCCCGCTCCGACACCGCTCGCCGCGTCTCGCACACAAACTTCTGAGCATCCAATCTTATCTCCACCCAATTGTTAAGAAGAGCAAACAGTGGTGCCAGGGGAAATGCTGCCACGAAGATGGTGATAAACCCAAACTGCAACACTGTAATACAACAAAATGCAAACAATTATATCTTTTTGGAGCAATGGAGCGACTTGCGTCCTGTGTCTCCCCCAAACTCGCCCATTACCCACTATCACAATGGACAAACAATAGCACATCTGGCAGTAAACTAAATTTAAAAGGGTTTGAAGGCACCGAACTGGTACCCAAATATAATCTTGACATTTTACTTGCCCACACTGTGGATAGAAATGACTGTTAGGCTTATTAGTAACACAAGGCAAAATGTACTACTGCAGTAATGTTGGGGAGAATTCAGGGAGAATATTTATATGAACGGGTCTTTATGTTCGACATGTTTAGTAAAAATCTATACTATTAAAAAGGTCAGGCAAACACTTACCCATCTCCAGGTACTCCTGGAAGAGGCCTTCGTTGTCAATCAGCTGATAATCCGCCTCCCACCGTGTCCTGGCTTTGTGGGTCATCTTCACCTGGTAATGAGGATGGGTTAGGGTCATCTTCACCTGGTAATGAGGATGGGTTAGGGTCATTTTCACCTGGTAATGAGGATGGGTTAGGGTCATCTTCACCTGGTAATGAGGATGGGTTAGGGTCATCTTCACCTGGTAATGAGGATGGGTTAGAGTCATCTTCACCTGGTAATGAGGATGGGTTAGAGTCATCTTCACCTGGTAATGAGGATGGGTTAGGGTCATCTTCACCTGGTAATGAGGATGGGTTAGTCATCTTCACCTGGTAATGAGGATGGGTTAGGGTCATTTTCACCTGGTAATGAGGATGGGTTAGGGTCATCTTCACCTGGTAATGAGGATGGGTTAGGGTCATCTTCACCTGGTAATGAGGATGGGTTAGAGTCATCTTCACCTGGTAATGAGGATGGGTTAGAGTCATCTTCACCTGGTAATGAGGATGGGTTAGGGTCATCTTCACCTGGTAATGAGGATGGGTTAGAGTCATCTTCACCTGGTAATGAGGATGGGTTAGGGTCATTTTCACCTGCATGTACAGAGTGGAGAACCAAGTGGAGCGACATGACCTGATGGCCAGCGTGGGAAAACCCGCAGTGGATCTGCCTGGTTGTGGTGACTGGTAAATGCCCTTCTCTCTAAAGTCTTCAACAAGTGTGCAATGTTTATAAAATATCATATAGTAGTCACATATAATGCATTTCATTTGATAATAGAATAGTAATCTTGATAGATTGATAGAGAATGAGGCACTAACCTCACTGTGAGCTCAAGTTGGGACCTGAATTGTACTGTGTTGGGATTAAGAAGTCATGGTAACACTGGTCCCCCCCCCCTTACACATCAACTGGATACCATAGATAGTGACATACAATATCTCTCCCTCTCCCCCCCCCCTCCCTGTCCCTCCCTCCTCCCTCCTCGCTCCCCTTCCCCACACCCCCTCCCTCCCTCCCTCCCTGTTGGGACACGCCCTCTCTCGCCCTCTTCCCCTCTCATCTCCCCCTTCCCCCCCTCTCCCTATCTTTCTTGGTCTCTTGCTCCCTCTCTCTTGCGCTCTCTCTCTGTTCTATCTCTCTTGCTCTCTCTCTCTCTCTAATTCATTTCTATGCTGTCATGTGTAAATGTTCCATCATCCTTGTGCAAGGGCCCAATGTGTTCTTCCTTGGTGTGTCTTGCAGGAGAGGTGGGTGGTAGGGAGAGAAGTTGGGGGGGGGGGAGACATAGGTAAATAAAAAGTAGACATGTTGGGTTCCTCCACCCCCCCCCCCCCCCCCTCCTCCCAGTAACTTAAGAAATAAATAGTTGGTGCGATCAAAGGTCATGAACATGGCCATGAATCACAATCATTCAGTTATACTTCTTTAAGTTAAATAAAGAAATTTACAAAGTTAAATTTTATTAATAAAGCACAACAAAAGGAATATACAATTACCTAGCTAATTACTGTCATGAAACCTTGCAGTAAAACAAGTTTCAAAACTTGCTGTATCAAAAGACAACATTAATGTAATATATAAACAACTGAGCATTGCTCCATATAGAAAATATTTGATGATCAGCAGGACATTACAAATGAATTTTTATAATACAATGACAAAATGAAGGGATCAATATTGAGTGGAATGTCAGTAGATAGTGCACGAGTTGAGCCTTAAGTGAACTCTAATATGTAAAGGTGTATAGAATCGAGTGCAAGAGCACTAGAAATATGAAATATAGGAATGATGAAAATATCACAATTGTTCATGCCAAACAACCCGAGTGTGTCAGCACACTCATCGCTCCCAACATAATTCTGTGCTGCTCCTGCTGCAGGTGAACATCAATGTACAGTACTAGAGTGAGTGAACAGTGTAAATTATATCCGTATAACAAGCAGTGGAGCCATTACAATTTTTTGTGAATTAAAATTTATTATATTAAAAGGGGCTCACTTAGGATATTTTTTTTTTTTTTTGCAGCTTAAATATTTATTAAGTTTACAAGTCATTTTTTTTCTATTAAATAGTAATTTCATTAGAATAATCATTGTCTTAGACAAGATTTATGAAGCGATGAGTGTACTGTACAGATATCAGAAGACCTTAGAGATCCTGTGGGCCATAGTTTTCCGCTACCGAAAGTGACACCAATAAGTAGCAACAGGCCCTATAGATTATAAAGTATTTTAAACATATCTTCACTGGGAAACATTGTGATACTTATTTGATGAAAATAGCACAAACCTAAAATACTAATGTGACTATTTAAGAGATCATTCTTTTTTTTTGTTTGGCTCGAGTAGTTGCAATCATTAAAATATCAAATATACAAGTTTATTAAGAATATTTACATTGAATGTATCAGTAATCTTTAACTTGTTAGTACTGTATAGTACTGTAAATTTATAAGTTATTTATTCACAGTACTAAAAGTCATCACACAGCCACCACCCGTCACCACCATAAACCATAAACACAGAAGAAACATCAAGAAGGCACTCAAGTATCTTTGTGCTGGAGGACAAATACCATAATTTCCAATCCAGTATCAAATTATTGGAGAATTTATACATGCAGGAAATGAACCACATACCAATTTTCAATATAACAGTAACATTTCATTATCATGAAGTAAGCAAGTCACAAGATCTTCAACCGTGTTAGGGAAATCATATCGATCTGCACTGATTGATGTGTCATTGTTAGGGCACTAACAATGTACAGTAAATCTATTTGTGCAACTCGCTCGCTTTAATATTTCAAATCCTCCTCTACTTTCCTGAATCTAACACCAGAGCGCCTCAACCAAAGAAGAACTCAAGTTAATCGTGCAGAAGTTCATTAGACAGATGTCTGCTTATACACGACAATAGGACGGGTGAGGGCGGTGGTCTGTTATGTCGGGGGACGTAAAGGAGTCTTATTGGTGTAGGAGCCAAAGTGGTTCGCTGAAGGAGCCTCAGATGTGTTCATTGTTCTGCCTGCAACGCTGCCACTGGAGTTAACACAAGGACTTTTGGAGTACGATGATGGTGAGTTTATGGTGTCATTTTTGTCACAGGATGATGGTAGACTTGAATGAGACATCTTGGCATACTGAGTAGCTGATGGAGAGTCATTTCCAAAATTATAAGAGGAAAACGTTGGAGAATCATTCGAAGTGTTAATAGGAAATGTTTCGACAGGAGGAATGACAACTGATGGAGTGTCAGCATCATTCATGGCCAGATTGATGTCATTAACTGCGGCAATATCATCGTCGTCATCATCGTCCTTTCCCTGGGCGACCTGTAGAACAAATGGAATGAGAGGCATTAGACTCGTGTGGACAACAGGAGTTTTGCAACAGGTTTGGCCAGGCCAGGCCAACAACAGGAGGCGTGCAGCAGGCTTGGCCAGGCCAACAACAACAGCAGCAGGCTTCACCGATGGCAGGAGGCTTGCAGCAGGCCAGGCCGACAATAGGAGGATTGCAGCAGGCTTGGCCAGGCCAGGCCGACAATAGGAGGATTGCAGCAGGCTTGGCCAGGCCAGGCCAGGATTGCAGGAGGTCAGGCCGACAACAGGATGATGATACTACTGCATTTTTTTCATATAATGGTTACCCAGAATACTGTATTATAAAGATATGATTTATATTTGGATTTATTATATACATAACTTTTTATTTTCTCAACATTAGTATACCAGTGGACAGGTTGACATTTTTTACTCATTTCCTATTAATTTTACTCCTGAAATTTGGCATACTGAATTCTAATTTATTTACTTAAGTCTAACATTTATTTTTCATTATATTCATACATATCTGTCTAGGTAACACCTACCTTCATGATTGTATCAGAGTCTGCTAGAGCTTGCTTTGCCAGGTACCTCTCTCTCTTCATCTTTATCTCCAGACTCTGAGGTACATCAGGCACCAAGATGTCTATCATCCGACACACCCCAAACACCACATGCTGAAACACCCTTTGGAATTAACTTCTGTAAATTTTATAGCTATTACATAAATATTTTATCAAGCCGATTTTACTACAAACACACAAATAAAACACTATTTTGGCAAGAACCGAGCCAGTAAAACCCTGCAATACTTCAAACCCTGTTCAAAACCCTGCAATACTTCAAACCCTGTTCAAAACCCTGTAATACTTCTAATCCTGTTCAAAACCCTGCAATACTTCAAACCCTGTTCAAAACCCTGCAATACTTCAAACCCTGTTCAAAACCCTTCCAAGATACTGTAATTCCTTTCAAAACCCCCTGCAAAGCTCTTAGGTTCTCACAAACCTCCAAAAACCCTGCAGTCTCCTACATGAGCTGGTCTATGTTAATTTGTTTCACAAAACCAAGAACTGACAGTAATAAAATAGGAGATAGTTGCGAGGTACCTCAAACCTACCTCGAAGACAATGACGAAACCCAACCTGATGGCCAAGAGTCGCCAGAAGAAAAGCGTGTGCTTCCCTTCGGCGTCCCGGTACCCGCGATACCTGCCAATCATCACATCATTAGCACACTGTTAAGAATTTTATGCACTCTGTACACTGAACGATTTTGAGAATTTTACCATTTGATTACCACAACTCCAACCCTTTCCATCTCAAACAGATGAGGCAAATATTGGTCTACCATATTTTAAATATGGACTACATTTCAGAAATATATTTAAACAAAATTCCACATACGGTATTTCCTTTGATATACAAATTATCTCAAATTAAATTCAAATACCGTTATCAGTTCCTGAAATCTGTATATGAGTTACACCTTAATTATGATTACTTTTACTTATAAATTTCAGTGAACAACAATTAAATTATAACAATTGTCTCAATTTGAAATCTCTCACATTTCCTGCTGTGTTTGTTACATTCTGCTCTCCAAATGTTAGACCTTTTAATACTGCTTTATATCGACGTTCATACTATACTATCCAAATCTAACAGCCTCCAATAATGATACTGTACTCCTTTAGCACCTATTTCGTCAAAAATAAACATTAACTTGTTTCGTTTGTGCAATCTAAAGTAAATAATCTAACTTGTCCAAGGCATAAATAAGAAATCCTAGTCTCAATATACACCATCTTAGGCCTTAGGCTAAATATTTACTTTATAAATGTGCTTTACTTGCCTTAAGAAAATATAGGTTTAGTTTTTGGTTTCTATATTCCTGCCCTCTGTAAAATTATTAGTACAAAATGGGAACATTGCTGCCTGAAACAGTCCATCTTTTGTACATTTGACTAAGTAGTTACTATAAATACTATCATTTTAAGAGAACTGATTGAAATTTTATTAAATGTACACATAAACCAACTCTTCACATTAACGCTTTACTAGAGTAATCGACTACTGTACTGGTAGCTCGGAACATACCAAATCTGTACTCTGCCTCACTCTCACCCGGGGTGTGCCTTCTCACCTGCATGCCTGACTCAGGGTGTTATTGGGGGCTGTGGCCAAGGTGAAGTTGACATAACCAGAAAGCGACCAGTCATACTCGTACTTGTACAGCAGCTGTGGCAGGAATTCCGACGTGAAGGCAATGAGAAATGCCTACGGAAGATAAAACATGTTTAAACACTTGTTAGTGAGAAAAAGCTGTTCAAGAATAAAAAGCTTTTGCAGAATTAAATAATTCCCATTGTCAAGAACAGTAAGCCAGCAAACAACAAGTTTCCTAACTCCAGGTTACCTATAACTCCTAGGTGAACACAACCATTAGGTAAAATGAAACGTGCCCAACCATTTCTGTCCTGCTCAGAGATTTAATCTTTATCCCTCGGCTATGAGCCGAGGACGTACAGTACTTTGCTACACAACCAATAGTTAATGGTCATGAAGATTGCTTTATGGTTGGTAAGATAAATGTTCACCCAAAGACAACTTTAATTTTGAATACCGTACACAAAAATGCTCAGCATTACATTCTTTGAACCTTATTTTATGCCACCGATGTTTCTGGTAGAGATAACATTATGCACTTTTGTAAACCATTTATAAGTGATTAATTATGTGGTAACCAAGCCTATTGTTCTAGTATTCACTTATACATGAATGCATGTGCTCTTATTCGTGTTGAAGCTTCTAGGCATGCTACAGCCACTTTTTACAATGGGGTCATCCCAATTCAATTGCTTGTGGCCTTTAGGTGTTATGGAGCGCTGGTTCTGCAAGAGAGACCCATTTGGTGGTGCTGTGTATTTATATATGATTATATGTTAAGAAAATTTGAAAAGTGTCATATTTTGTAATTACATTACTGATGACGGCAAGATGGGCCATGAAGTCAAGAATAGTGAACCAGATACCGATGTTCTGGGCCCGCTCCGACACCGCTCGCCGCGTCTCGCACACAAACTTCTGAGCATCCAATCTTATCTCCACCCAATTGTTAAGAAGAGCAAACAGTGGTGCCAGGGGAAACGCTGCCACGAAGATGGTGATAAACCCAAACTGCAACACTGTAATACAACAAAATGCAAACAATTATATCTTTTTGGAGCAATGGAGCGACTTGCGTCCTGTGTCTCCCCCAAACTCGCCCATTACCCACTATCACAATGGACAAACAATAGTACATCTGGCAGTAAACTAAATTTAAAAGGGTTTTGAAGGCACCGAACTGGTACCCAAATATAATCTTGACATTTTACTTGCCCACACTGTGGATAGAAATGATTGTTAGGCTTATTAGTAACACAAGGCAAAATGTACTACTGCAGTAATGTTGGGGAGAATTCAGGGAGAATATTTATATGAACGGGTCTTTATGTTCGACATGTTTAGTAAAAATCTATACTATTAAAAAGGTCAGGCAAACACTTACCCATCTCCAGGTACTCCTGGAAGAGGCCTTCGTTGTCAATCAGCTGATAATCCGCCTCCCACCGTGTCCTGGCTTTGTGGGTCATCTTCACCTGGTAATGAGGATGGGTTAGAGTCATCTTCACCTGGTAATGAGGATGGGTTAGGGTCGTCTTCACCTGGTAATGAGGATGGGTTAGGGTCATCTTCACCTGGTAATGTCTTGAACATTATATTGTAGAATGTCCCATACTGACTGACTTTCGCCCTCCTGGGCTAAGGTATGCTGAACTCTGTAATTACTATATGAGTACTGGAACACTTGATATATTGGACTTGTATCCAAGATTGACCATGTAATGTATCATTTATTCAATGTATATATATGATGTAACTACATAACCTGAGCTTGTAAAAGCACCTTCATCACCTTCAATGATTAAGTGCTTAATTGCACACTAGTTTCTTTATCAGCTATCTCACCCTATCAGAGTAAATGAGACAGATGTATGTGAATGCATGTGTGTGTATATATGTATGTACATGTGTGTGTGTATGTATATGTATGGATATAAAGTATATATGGAAGCTGATCAGAATTACATTTCACCTTTGTGAATGTACATTAATGACACTATGTAAAAGACACATCAAACACTTTATGTAGGGCATACGTAAATCTGTGTATCTATGTATTTACGTATGTAGGTTAGCTTAGCATTTTAAAAGCACCGAATCACCTTCTGTGGTCGAGTGTTCAATAAACCCTTGAACTCTATGTTTAACATTTCTCTAACCCTGTCCATGGAGGACAGAAGAAAATGTATATATGCTGGTTAGCATTGTAAATGTGTGGCCACGTCTGTGGTAGAAAATAATAAATAAATAAAAAAAAATAAAAAAAATGAGGATGGGTTAAGTGACGGCTCTGACCCTCCCCTGCCTTTCCCCCACAGGTGGTGGCAGGTTCATAGTTTTATGAGCCTTCAATATAGGAGGCTATATATAGTTCCTAATTCAATATAGGAACATAGACATGGAATAATGAGGTCCAATTTATACCGTTTATTTATATTTCATATACAGTACCGATTTATATAGACACTGTCAGCTTACCTGTTTTTTGTGCCACCAAGCCTTAGCCTTGGGGACAAGGATCTCCTGAGCATTATTCACCACTTGTTTACCGATCATGATGACCGCCAGCTGCTGAGCAAGCTCAATAAGACACCCTCCGGCTGAGCACTGCACAATATAACAATGTGTCAATTTGTGTACTACGGTCGCGCACTGCAACCATAGTAGTTGTACGTAGTACTTAGATTATACCATAGTATAATCCTCCTGTTTAAATTGTAATTATAGTAACTATGTGGACCATCGTACATATGCTGCATTGACGTAATGGACAATTTGAAAATAGTAAAGCTGGTACTATTAAACTTGGACAAAACATGCTATACTAGGCCTACGATACTTAAGTTTAACTTTTAAGCTTTATTTTCTCACGACTTGTAAAGTGAATAGTTCCAAATTCTACCAATTGTCCATCACGAACGAATATGTACGATGATCCACAGTTACAAAAAAGTACTACGTAAACACGAGTAACAAACAGTTGATGTATCAATTGTTATCAGGGAGAGCGCATGTGTATTCTGAGAAACAAAATTATCGATTGAATTGTTGACCAGACCGCACACTAGAAATTGAAGGGACGACGACGTTTCGGTCCGTCCTGGACCATTCTCAAGTCGATTGTGACTTGATATATACATCAATATACACAATATACATCATATATACACAATCGACTTGAGAATGGTCCAGGACGGACCGAAACGTCGTCGTCCCTTCAATTTCTAGTGTGTGGTCTGGTCAACATACTTCAGCCACGTTATTGTGACTCATCGCCTGCATATCGATTGAATTGTTTGTTAATTGATTGAACTGAAATCAACAAGTGCAGCGAGTGGTTACTGACGTCCTCATTGCGCAGGCCGAGGATGTGGTAGTAATGGCCAGGGTAGCCCACGAAGCGACCCTTGAAGAACGCGATGTAGAAGATGGAGGAGTAGAAGTTGACGAACTGGAAGATGAATACCTTGAAGGTCAGGCTGTCCTCGAACTCTGACTGCGTGCGATGCATTTCTGTGGGACATTACATGGCTTTTCCATTACTGAATTACAAGTGTGAATGAAGATCATGTAAGTAATGCTGGTTTATATGAGGGGCAAAGACAACACCACCAGGGGGAGAGAGGGAGAAAGACAACACCAGGGGGAGAGAGGGAGAAAGACAACACCACCAGGGGGAGAGAGGGAGAAAGACAACACCACCAGGGGGAGAGAGGGAGAAAGACAACACCACCAGGGGGAGAGAGGGAGAAAGACAACACCAAGGGAAAGTTTGTCAAATACACAATTATCAAAGGAAGCTGCCAAGCTGGGATGACTAAACATCACCGTCAGGTGGAGGAAATAAGAGGCAAGAGTTAAGACTATAGAAGTAATGAATTAAACAAAATGTTCTGCAAGACAGATCACTTAGAAAACAGATTTTCTAAACTAACAATATCAAGACAGAACAAATCCAATAACTGTAGAGTTTAGGAATATACTGCATGTTAAAGCATTTATCTAAGACATTAACTAGGTGATGGAGAGGCGGCCGAGACGTACCCCAAGTGGTGAGTCTGTGGGCGAGCTTCTCGTACACTCTGCCCATAGACATGATGATGATGAAGTTGACCACAGCGCCCGACAGTGATGATATTGCCTGAGCCTGCAAGACAAACAGTGCCGGTGAGTTCACCGTGAAGGGCGAGACCTAACCTGACCACAGTGTAGCAGGGACTAATGCAGGTCCCCGTGGTCGTCTCTCACGTTTATAATTATAATCACATTATGTAACATACAAATACCTAAAGTCAATAAGTCTGACAAAGAAAATATATATGAATATGATCAAACAAAACATGGGTTTGGCTCATTACATTAGCATTACAGTATTCCCACGATAAAAAAATTCTAAAAATACAAATATATTAATTCCATTTTTATTTTTTAAGATTTTGGAAAGTGACTAAGCTTTAATGCGCCAGAAAAAGCTGTGTTTAATGTACAATCTTCTACTGGAATTAATAACGCAACAAGAAAAAATATTCTAAATCAGTGTAGAACGAAACAAAAGTAGACTCTGAAACTTGTACAAACCCAGTAAACTTGACAAAAGTACAAAAAGTACAATAGAAGCAAAATTATAAGCTCAGGGGAAGGAAACTTACACAAAAAAGTTAGGAATGATTCAAAGTCTTGATCAATATATAATAAAATAACTAAGATGCATAATCTAAGCGTCACTGTACAGTTCATGAATGAAGACTATAAACAATATTTAATTGACAAAACAATCCTTCAGGTTCTTGGCCACCGACCTCGGCCACGTATCTGGGACCGGGGGGGGGGGGGGGTCCGTCGGCCACGTACCTGGGATCAGGGGGGGGGGTCCCGTCGGCCACGTACCTGGAACCTGGGGGGGGGGGGACCGTCGGCCACGTACCTGGGACCTGAGAGGGGGGGGGCCGTCGGCCACGTACCTAGGACCTGAGGGGGGGGGGACCGTCGGCCACGTACCTGGGACCTGAGAGGGGGGATGGGGACCGTCGGCCACGTACCTGGGACCTGAGAGGGGGGGATGGGGACCGTCGGCCACGTACCTGGGACCTGAGGGTGTCGTTGCGGAAGAGAGGTATGGACACCAGGACGCGGTAGATGATGACAGCTACAATGAAGATGATTACTAGACTCATCTGAGGGTAGAGAACACCACGTGGGTTAGAGAAGAACACGTAGGGGTACAGAGGAGACCGTGGGGGGTACAGAGGAGACCGTGGGGGGTACAGAGGAGACCGTGGGGGGGTACAGAGGAGACCGTGGGGGTACAGAGGAGACCGTGGGGAGTACAGAGGAGACCGTGGGGGGGTACAGAGGAGACCGTGGGGGGTACAGAGGAGACCGTGGGGGGTACAGAGGAGACCGTGGGGGGGTACAGAGGAGACCGTGGGGGGGTACAGAGGAGACCGTGGGGGGGTACAGAGGAGACCGTGGGGGGGTACAGAGGAGACCGTGGGGGGGGGTACAGAGGAGACAGTAGGGGGAACAGAGGAGACAGTAGGGGTAACAGAGGAGACCGTGGGGGGTTCAGAACAGCACGTGCGGGGTGCAGACAAGACCGTGGGGGTACAGAGGAGACCGTGGGGGTACAGAGGAGACCGTGGGGGGTACAGAACAGACCGTGGGGGGTACAGAACAGACCGTGGGGGTACAGAACAGACCGTGGGGGTATAGAGGAGACCGTGGGGGTACAGAACAGACCGTGGGGGGTACAAAACAGACCGTGGGGGTACAAAACAGACCGTGGGGGGTACAAAACAGACCGTGGGGGGTACAAAACAGACCGTGGGGGGTACAAAACAGACCGTGGGGGGTACAAAACAGACCGTGGGGGGTACAAAACAGACCGTGGGGGGTACAAAACAGACCGTGGGGGGTACAAAACAGACCGTGGGGAGTACAAAACAGACCGTGGGGGGTACAAAACAGACCGTGGGGGGTACAAAACAGACCGTGGGGGGTACAAAACAGACCGTGGGGGGTACAAAACAGACCGTGGGGGGTACAAAACAGACCGTGGGAGTACAAAACAGACCGTGGGGGTACAAAACAGACCGTGGGGGTACAGAGGAGACCGTGGGGGTACAGAGGAGACCGTGGGGGGTACAGAACAGACCGTGGGGGGTACAGAACAGACCGTGGGGGTACAGAACAGACCGTGGGGGTATAGAGGAGACCGTGGGGGTACAGAACAGACCGTGGGGGGTACAAAACAGACCGTGGGGGTACAAAACAGACCGTGGGGGGTACAAAACAGACCGTGGGGGGTACAAAACAGACCGTGGGGGGTACAAAACAGACCGTGGGGGGTACAAAACAGACCGTGGGGGGTACAAAACAGACCGTGGGGGGTACAAAACAGACCGTGGGGGGTACAAAACAGACCGTGGGGGTACAAAACAGACCGTGGGGGGTACAAAACAGACCGTGGGGGGTACAAAACAGACCGTGGGGGGTACAAAACAGACCGTGGGAGTACAAAACAGACCGTGGGGGTACAAAACAGACCGTGGGGGTACAGAGGAGACCGTGGGGGTACAGAGGAGACCGTGGGGGGTACAGAACAGACCGTGGGGGGTACAGAACAGACCGTGGGGGTACAGAACAGACCGTGGGGGTATAGAGGAGACCGTGGGGGTACAGAACAGACCGTGGGGGGTACAAAACAGACCGTGGGGGTACAAAACAGACCGTGGGGGTACAAAACAGACCGTGGGGGGTACAAAACAGACCGTGGGGGGTACAAAACAGACCGTGGGGGTACAAAACAGACCGTGGGGGGTACAAAACAGACCGTGGGGGGTACAAAACAGACCGTGGGGGTACAAAACAGACCGTGGGGGGTACAAAACAGACCGTGGGGGGTACAAAACAGACCGTGGGGGGTACAAAACAGACCGTGGGGGGTACAAAACAGACCGTGGGAGTACAAAACAGACCGTGGGGGTACAGAGGAGACCGTGGGGGTACAGAGGAGACCGTGGGGGTACAGAGGAGACCGTGGGGGTACAGAGGAGACCGTGGGGGGTACAGAGGAGACCGTGGGGGTACAGAGGAAACCGTGGGGGGTACAGAGGAGACCGTGGGGGTACAGAGGAGACCGTGGGGGTACAGAGGAAACCGTGGGGGTACAGAGGAGACCGTGGGGGTACAGAGGAGACCGTGGGGGGTACAGAGGAGACCGTGGGGGGGTACAGAGGAGACCGTGGGGGGGTACAGAGGAGACCGTGGGGGGGTACAGAGGAAACCGTGGGGGTACAGAGGAAACCGTGGGGGTACAGAGGAGACCGTGGGGGTACAGAGGAGACCGTGGGGGTACAGAGGAGACCGTGGGGGTACAGAGGAGACCGTGGGGGTACAGAGGAGACCGTGGGGGGTACAGAGGAAACCGTGGGGGTACAGAGGAAACCGTGGGGGTACAGAGGAGACCGTGGGGGTACAGAGGAGACCGTGGGGGGTACAGAGGAGACCGTGGGGGGTACAGAGGAAACCATGGGGGTACAGAGGAAACCGTGGGGGTACAGAGGAAACCGTGGGGGTACAGAGGAAACCGTGGGGGTACAGAGGAGACCGTGGGGGTACAGAGGAGACCGTGGGGGTACAGAGGAAACCGTGGGGGTACAGAGGAAACCGTGGGGGGTACAGAGGAGACCGTGGGGGTACAGAGGAGACCGTGGGGGGTACAGAGGAGACCGTGGGGGTACAGAGGAAACCGTGGGGGTACAGAGGAGACCGTGGGGGTACAGAGGAGACCGTGGGGGGTACAGAGGAGACCGTGGGGGGGTACAGAGGAGACCGTGGGGGTACAGAGGAAACCGTGGGGGTACAGAGGAGACCGGGGGTACAGAGGAGACCGTGGGGGTACAGAGGAGACCGTGGGGGTACAGAGGAGACCGTGGGGGTACAGAGGAGACCGTGGGGGTACAGAGGAGTCCGTGGGGGTACAGAGGAGACCGTGGGGGGTACAGAGGAGACCGTGGGGGGTACAGAGGAGACCGTGGGGGTACAGAGGAGACCGTGGGGGGTACAGAGGAGACCGTGGGGGGTACAGAGCAGAGACCGTACAGAGGAGACCGTGGGGGTACAGAGGAGACCGTGGGGGTACAGAGGAAACCGTGGGGGTACAGAGGAGACCGTGGGGGTACAGAGGAGACCGTGGGGGGTACAGAGGAGACCGTGGGGGGGGGTACAGAGGAGACCGTGGGGGTACAGACCGTGGGGGTACAGCACGTGGGGGTACAGAGGAGACCGTGGGGGTACAGAGGAGACCGTGGGGGGGTACAGAGGAGACCGTGGGGGTACAGAGGAAACCGTGGGGGTACAGAGGAGACCGTGGGGGGTACAGAACAGACCGTGGGAGGGTACAGAGGAGACCGTGGGGGGTACAGAGGAGACCGTGGGGGTACAGAGGAGACCGTGGGGGTACAGAGGAGACCGTGGGGGTACAGAGGAGACCGTGGGGGTACAGAGGAGACCGTGGGGGGTACAGAGGAGACCGTGGGGGTACAGAGGAACCGTGGGGGTACAGAGGAGACCGTGGGGGTACAGAGGAGACCGTGGGGGGTACAGAGGAGACCGTGGGGGGTACAGAGGAGACCGTGGGGGTACAGAGGAGACCGTGTGGGGGTACAGAGGAGACCGTACAGAGGAGACCGTGGGGGTACAGAGGAGACCGGGGGGTACAGAGGAGACCGGGGGTACAGGAGACCAGTACACCGAGACCGGGGGGTACAGAGGAGACCGTACAGAGGAGACCGTGGGGGTACAGAGGAGACCGTGGGGGTACAGAGGAGACCGTGGGGGGTACAGAGGAGAGACGTGGGGGGTACAGAACAGACCGTCAGAAGACACCATGGGGGTACAGACAGAACAGACCGTGTGGGGGTACAGACCGTGGGGGGTACAGACCGTGGGGGTACAGAAGGACACGTGGGGGTACAGAAGAGACCGTAGAGGGTACAGAAGAGACCGTAGAGGGTACAGAAGAGACCGTAGAGGGTACAGAAGAGACCGTGGGGGTACAGAAGAGACGTGGGGGGTACAGAAGAACACGTGGGGGGTACAGAAGAACACGTGGGGGGTACAGAAGAACACGTGGGGGTACAGAAGAACACGTGGGGGTACAGAACACGTGGGGGGTACAGAAGAGACCGTGGGGGTACAGAGCAGACCGTGGGGGGTACAGAAGAACACGTGGGGGTACAGAAGAACACGTGGGGGTACAGAAGAACACGTGGAGGGTACAGAACAACACGTGCGGGGTACAGAAGAACACGTGCGGGGTACAGAAGAGACCGTGGGGGTACAGAAGAACACGTGGGGGTACAGAAGAACACGTGGAACAGGGTACAGAAGAACACGTGCGGGGTACAGAAGAACACGTGGGGGTACAGAAGCGTGGGGGTACAGAAGAACACGTGGGGGGTACAGAAGAACACGTGGGGGGTACAGAAGAACACGTGGGGGGTAAGAACACGTGGGGGTACAGAAGAACACGTGGGGGTACAGAAGAACACGTGGGGGTAGAACACGTGGGGGTAGAACACGTGGGGGTAGAACACGTGGGGGTAGAACACGTGGGGGTAGAACACGTGGGGGTAGAACACGTGGGGGTAGAACACGTGGGGGTAGAACACGTGGGGGTAGAACACGTGGGGGTAGAACACGTGGGGGTAGTGTTATAATCCAGGAGAGACTCATCCATTACCATTATTGAAATTTTCAAACTGCACATACAGGCTACGAATGGCAATTAATTTTGAGTTGTGTTACATTGTTAATGTTGAGAATACAACATCGCAGAGCACTGTGCTAATTTGTTAGCATATTGCATTTATGATAATGGAGGGATGTTACATGTTGATTTGCACATATGTAACGTTAAATTTGATTATATTATATATTTATTATATATATAAATTACATGCGACTTGTTCCTTTTATTCTTGTATGGAGTAACGAATCCAGTTTTGGATCCAGGTGTCTACAAGGTGACGAGTGGACAGGATGGATGGATGTGTGTCCGCCCAAGATGCCTTAATTATCCCAGTTTATTCTTCTAGATTACTGGTAGCTTACTGCCGAATATCAATTGGTACTAGAAATAATGTAATCTGTATACATATAATATTATACTGGCAATTATAAGATGGTTTGTGGTGGATTACTACTGTCAATTCGTGTCACTGTTTTGGCCGACTGCCTTGTTAATCTGGTCTAATCTGGGGATTACATTTAAGGGATTTTTGCTCTGTTCTGCAACTTACCTGGACTAATAATTTTAAACCATTATTATTTGCATGTTAATTATATACTTTTGCTGTACCAATTATAGTCTTTCAAAACGGAAAAGAAGAAAACCCACATTTTGAGAATGATGCCTCCTCCACGTAAGCAGAGCTAACTGCCATTGTTATGGCATTAAGGTTCCTAGAAAGAAACACTAACGGGGGCATTGATCGGCACCGATTCAAAAGCAGCACTTCAGACTTGGCAAAAAAATAGGCAGTAAACCTTGCAATAGTTGCTGAATCGAGAGCTGTGAAAATACTAACCAATCAGGGAAGAGGTAAACTTCCCATGGATTGCCTCCCACGTTGGAATTTGTGGAATTTGTGGAAATAAACGAGCAGATGTTTATTGTTGAGGGAGCTGAAGGAGGCCATATTGAATGCTTCATACCTGAAGTATTGGGGGGGGCAGGCCGATTTCGAGGATTATAGAAACCATGATCCTAATGAGATTTCTAAATGTAGAGAACCAATCTAGTGAAAATTAGTAACCTAACCCCACACATGAAAAAGGAAATTGACGACGTTTCAGTCCGTCTTGGATTCCTTATTAAGTCGCATCAACAGTAGTGCAGACCCTTATCTTGTATCGATTTTAAACAATGGTAATTAATATATTCATTCCTGAACCATAATGTTGTAATCAGGGAGCCCCAGCCACTTACCATGATGAAAATGAGCCCAACACCAGCCATGATGCGCTTGGTTCTGATGGACTTTGGGAAGGAGGGTTCGCGGACACCCGTGATGGGGTTCCGCTCTTGACACGGCGCCTTAGCTGCGAATTCCGGGCGAGGACGCTCCTCCTCCTCCTGGAAGTCCAGACAGTCCCAGTGGTGTGCCAGGGAAGCACTCTTACGCTTCCAGTACTCCAGGAAGGTCACGGCTGGAAAGGTGGAGAGGACACACATTCAGGATAATAGGAAAACAGACACCAGGGCAGGAGTAGAAGGTCAGAAACCAGACCTGAAGAGTTACCAAATACGCCAGCGGCCGCCAGCCTCAAAGCACGAAAGTGGTCACTAAATACGTCAACAGATGTCTATAAACACACAAATACAGTATAAAAACGGTCAAAACATTCACAGAATATTAATAGAACATTTCATAATCACTAAATTATAAAATACCATTAAAATCATTATAAAATAAAAAGCTTAGTGCCAAAGGCAGGGTGAAAGACTCACCCCAAAACGAGACAAAGATGGCATAAAAGACAGTGCCGGGGTGGTCGAAGAGGTAGGAGATCCTGGCGTTGATACAGATGTCACTGAGGTCCCAGACCACGCAACCCAACGTCTCGTTACACAGAGGGCACATCTTGAAGACGTTCTCCTTGTTACAGATCTCGTTGGCGGGAGTGTTGTAGTTGATGGTGCACACGCCGTACAAGAACACCAGGAGACCCACGATGGCCGCCGGCAGCAACCAACCCGTATACAGACCTGCACGGAGTCACCCATCAGTTGGATGTGAGGACACAGGGGAAGGTGTGTAATATACATGTACACGTGTGACACGGTAAGGAGAGTAATGTGACTACTGAAGAGTCCCTGCCCCAGGGGGGAGGGCGTACAACTTACCCAGCCAGGCGAAGTAAATGCCGATCTTCTCGCCGAAGTACTCCCTGATGTGGTCGAGGGGCTGGTACTTGTACCACCTGCCCCAGCGCGCCCAGTAGTGGTACAGCACCTGTCGTGGGTTGAGCTGGCGAGGGTCCCGACACCCCGTTGGGTACTCGTACGCCCCCTGCAGGAGACAAGGGTGAGGCCTCTACGGTGCTGCTGTTGGTGTGTGGAGGGGTGTTACTGGAGGGTCTACCGGCGTGGAGGGGTGTTACTGGAGGGTCTACCGGCGTGGAAGGATGTTACTGGAGGGTCTACTAACGTGGAAGGATGTTACAGGAGGGTCTACCCGCGTGGAGGGATGTTACTGGAGGGTCTACCCGCGTGGAGGGATGTTACTGGAGGGTCTACCCGCGTGGAGGGATGTTACTGGAGGGTCTACCGGCGTGGAGGGGTGTTACTGGAGGGTCTACCGGCGTGGAGGGGTGTTACTGGAGGGTCTACCGGCGTGGAGGGGTGTTACTGGAGGGTCTACCGGCGTGGAGGGGTGTTACTGGAGGGTCTACCGGCGTGGAGGGATGTTACTGGAGGGTCTACCGGCGTGGAGGGGTGTTACTGGAGGGTCTACCCGCGTGGATGTTACTGGAGGGTCTACCCGCGTGGATGTTACTGGAGGGTCTACCCGCGTGGAGGGGTGTTACTGGAGGGTCTACCCGCGTGGATGTTACTGGAGGGTCTACCCGCGTGGAGGGGTGTTACTGGAGGGTCTACCCGCGTGGAAGGATGTTACTGGAGGGTCTACCGGCGTGGAGGGGTGTTACTGGAGGGTCTACCGGCGTGAAGGGGTGTTACTGGAGGGTCTACCGGCGTGGAGGGGTGTTACTGGAGGGTCTACCAGCGTGGAAGGATGTTACTGGAGGGTCTACCCGCGTGGAGGGATGTTACTGGAGGGTCTACCGGCGTGGAGGGGTGTTACTGGAGGGTCTACCGGCGTGGAGGGGTGTTACTGGAGGGTCTACCGGCGTGGAGGGGTGTTACTGGAGGGTCTACCAGCGTGGAAGGATGTTACTGGAGGGTCTACCCGCGTGGAGGGGTGTTACTGGAGGGTCTACCGGCGTGGAGGGGTGTTACTGGAGGGTCTACCCGCGTGGAGGGGTGTTACTGGAGGGTCTACCAGCGTGGAGGGGTGTTACTGGAGGGTCTACCCGCGTGGAGGGGTGTTACTGGAGGGTCTACCAGCGTGGAGGGGTGTTACTGGAGGGTCTACCGGCGTGGAGGGGTGTTACTGGAGGGTCTACCAGCGTGGAAGGATGTTACTGGAGGGTCTACCGGCGTGGAGGGGTGTTACTGGAGGGTCTACCGGCGTGGAGGGGTGTTACTGGAGGGTCTACCAGCGTGGAGGGGTGTTAGCGAGCCTGGTGGGGTGTGTGGGGGACCTCCTCACGCACACATCCATTGACACCTTAACTCTCTACTACACACCAATTAAAACCTAATGAGCCTCGACCCTGCCTGTTAAGTTTTCTACCGCATGTCTCGTGTATTGTACCGCAGTTAAGAATGCCCCCACACAGCCAGTACCAACTGCAAGAAGTATTTACGCCGAGGTAATAAAGAGATAGTGGGCCATTACTAGGCAATCCACGAAGAGGAGCCGACCCTCTTCACGGGTGCATAATAGGATTTATATAGAAACAGAAACCTGACCTATTTCCTTAAGTTACAGCGGATACCGACCCTCTCCCCCCCCCCCACACACACACACAAAATGGTAGCAACACTTCCGAGTGACGAGAGAACAGGAGGGTTGAGGGGGCCAAGACTCTAGTACAAGAAGCAGTACTCACATCATGGAGCGGGAAGGCAGCGCTGTACACACCCTCCTCCACCAGCCTCTCGATTCCGATCTCACCCTTCTTCCTCTTGCCGAAGGAGGCCGTGGAGAGGATCTCGTGAACGATCCTGGCCCTCTGCGTGTTGGTGAAGTACTGGTCGGGGTTGTCACTGCCTAGGAACCTGTCGGCGGGGCACCCGAGGTCAGGCAGGCAGCCAAGGTAAGGGAAGCCTATTGAAGGGCGACAATGTGGAGACATTTAGATAAAAAAAAACGGCAAACTTCAGCCGATAAGGTCTAGTAAAAATTGGTTAAGGAGCTGTGGAAATGGTCTTGACAGGCACATCTTTAAGGTAAAGGGTCATGCTCGGTCATGCTCGGTCTAGCAGCGTGACAGACGGGTCATGCTCGGTCTAGCAGCGTGACAGACGGGTCATGCTCGGTCTAGCAGCGTGACAGACGGGTCATGCTCGATCTAGCAGCGTGACAGACGGGTCATGCTCGGTCTAGCAGCGTGACAGACGGGTCATGCTCGGTCTAGCAGCGTGACAGACGGGTCATGCTCGGTCTAGCAGCGTGACAGACGGGTCATGCTCGGTCTAGCAGCGTGACAGACGGGTCATGCTCGGTCTAGCAGCGTGACAGACGGGTCATGCTCGGTCTAGCAGCGTGACAGACGGGTATGCTCGGCAGCGTGACAGACGGGTCATGCTCGGTCTAGCAGCGTGACAGACGGGTCATGCTCGGTCTAGCAGACAGACGGGTCGTGACAGACAGACGGGTCATGCTCGGTCTAGCAGCGTGACAGACGGGTCATGCTCGGTCTAGCAGCGTGACAGACGGGTCATGCTCGGTCTAGCAGCGTGACAGACGGGTCATGCTCGGTCTAGCAGCGTGACAGACGGGTCATGGGTCTCATGACAGACGGGTCGCTCGGTCTAGCAGCGTGACAGACGGCCATGCTCGGTCTAGCAGCGTGACAGACGGGTCATGCTCGGTCTAGCAGCGTGACAGACGGGTCATGCTCGGTCTAGCAGCGTGACAGACGGGTCATGCTCGGTCTAGCAGCGTGACAGACGGGTCATGCTCGGTCAAAGACAACAGAAGAGGTAAGCAAGACTAACTGACGATGCTGAAACCGATGACGAGTATGTTCTCATCGCCACACTGAGTGTCTCACTGTAGACAGCGCTCAGGTCGTAGTCCTAAGGGTTCGGGTTCGATCCCCGGCAGAAGCGGAAACAAATGGGCAATGTTTCTTTCACCCTGATGTCCCTGTTCACCTGGTAAATAGGTACCTGGGAGTTACACAGCTGTTACGGGCTTTTTCCTTGGGAAGGGGAAGGGAGGGTTATGTGTGAGAGGAGAAAAAAATAAAGTTGATTGACAGACGAGAGGCGGGCCCAAAGAGCCAGAGCTCAACCCCCGAAAATGCAAGGACCATAAAATTATATGGTCTGCTACGCGGGCTACGCGAACAGAAAACGCAGAAAAACTGGCGATTCGTACCTCTTTCCAAAGGGAGAAGGACAAACATTAATAAAAAAAAACATGTTTCTAAGGCAGCATCTGCACACTAAATTGGAGAAACAAAAGAGCATTTGAACAAATAAAAATTAGAGAATCATATCGTATCTACGCGAGAACAAGGACCGAAAATGCAGGAAAAAGTTAAGATGCGTCTTATTTACAATTATTACTTAACCTATCATCGGTATAGGTTAAGTAATAATTGTAATTAAGAAGCAATAAGATGCTCATCTTAACATACTAAGAAGGTTAGGTGAGGTCGGTGTTTTCTATGAAGCTTTTCAAGGTAAATATTTACAATCAATTAGTATGTCACATATGCATTTATTAAATAAGCCAATATTGACTATAAGCAAGTGCGAGAACGGGTTGGATGTGGAGAACATGAGAACGACTCGGCACAGTCACACCAGATAATCCAACAAAGAAAATAGTGGAAGGATTAATGTTCCATCTTGCAGGTGCTCTGTCAACAGACGGAGCACCTGCAACCCGCATCCACGAATAAAGAGTATTGCATTTAATATGCATTTTTTTTAATTTATATACAAATTTTTGTAACAAAATGTGTAATAAAAACTTAAGTGCAAATTGTGTTCATGTTCCGCGGCTCTTAAACATCTGAGCTCTATTAATGGTGGCTCTTACAGCAAGGAAGTCTGGCCGCGCCTGCTCTAGAGTCTAGACGGCCAACGGGAGCCTGGGAGGGACTCCAGTCATCTTGGACTGTAAACGCTGGCAATAAAGTCCAAAGACGTGTCCTAGCCACGCTAGAGTGAGCCACAAGGCACCTTCCACACACTCTTGGCTACCCTAACGATTTAGGCCGACTATACTTGCTGCAATAGCTTATTTGTAGTCGATGTTATTTCACAGGGAGCATTAATTGCAAGATTCGTTGTATGTGATAAGAATTTGCTAGTGAAACACGAAGTGACAGGACCGTAGAGTACCTCACTGCTTCATCAAGTCAGTCTGGCTTAGCGGTGCTGGACTCTTCAGCCCAACCCCCGCCCTCACCACCACAGGGTAGGGCTCCGGGGGCGAGGCGTTGGGGAGGACTTGAGATCCGTGAAGGGAAAGGGGGTAGCGGAGGTCGGGTAGGTGAATTTCAATATACCGAAATACATTCAACGATATAAATACTGTACTTCTATTCGCCCTACATTTAGTGGTTACCATTGCTGAACTCTGTAGTTCGAGGTTACATTCATGCCAGCTAAGGAGAGCGAGAAGAGAGCGCGAGAAGAGAGCGCAGGCGCGAGAGGGGAGAAGAGAGAATTATGTCTTGAGTGCCAGCGTCTACAGCTGACCCGCCTCAATGAAACTTCACGATTATCCTGACGATCGCTGGACTTATCTGATGGAATCTTCAACGGAGGAAGGAGAGAGAGTGAAAACGTTCATGAATAAACTCGCGGCATTACAAGGACTCTCCATCCCATGAGGCTTTCCCGCTCTCAGACACGCGCCCCGGGGCGGCTGGCAGACCTGTTTTTTGAGCCTCGCGACGCCGGCCGGGGAGAAACTGTCTGCTGCCTCGATGGCCAGACGTATGATCATATACTGAATTATATACAATGTTTACTAGAGAAACTTCGGGTGCTGGGTATAAGATGAAAGATGCGAACGCATGTTTTCCCCACCCAGACTGACGTGCCCACTCTCGCATCCACACTCACGGACGCCATGAAGACTAATGTAAAAAATCATTGCTTGCTTCCGCTGCCAGTATTATAGAGACGGGTCTTGTTTGGGTTAAACACATGCACGACCGAGTAGGGGGGAAAGTGGGGGGGAAAGGGGGGGAAGAGGAGATTGCAAAGTGTATGACCCCAGTTTAGTTACAGTAGCCAGCTGAGTGTGGTCTGTATCCCAAGGTTCACCACCTGCCCGAGGCTCACATCAGCAGGTGGTAGATATCCCCCGAAGCGTCAACCACACCAAGTCACCCGACTCCTCGCCCTCTCTCATCCAAACTGACCCTCCATGTCTATCAACGTGAGCAGCAGCAGCAGCAGCTGTTCCGTGTACCCCCTTGGCCCAACCACTTGGGCTGGACGGTAGAGCGACGGTCTCCCCTCATGCAGGTTGGTGTTCAATGCCCCCGACCGTCTTAAGTGGTTGGGCACCATTTCCTTCCCAGGTAGTAGTAGTAGGTCTCCTACAGTCTCTGGAAACTATGGAGTTGCGCTCTGCTTGTGGAGACTGGAGTCTCCAAACTATAGGCTAATGCAGGGGGTCTGTAGTTTGCTTTATAACATTCACAGGCATCAAGCGCTTAAGGGCCAGCGAGGTCAGCTCTAATGACCACCAATGAAGCTCTAACGTTAGGCAGGTGCATGAAATTATTTAATGCAATTAATACCAAAAAATGGAACGGTTATGTTCCATTTGCCTTCACACACAAAAGTGTGAACGCACGAATGTAAGAACTACGCAGGAATTATTGTACCAAGTGGACAATATGTAGTTATTTCAAGTGTACAGGAAAAAGCACACAGACGCTTGAGCTATGAACAAGCTGGGTGCTATCGGTAGTTAAGAACAAAATTAGGAGCCTCGGCTATCGGTAGTTACAATCTGTAACTACCGAGCCATGGTAGATTGTAACTACCGATTGCCACGGCTCCTAATGTTGTCCTCAGGTGTAGTAATTATGAAGGGTAAGGAGGCGAGAGCTTTAAGCCGGAATCAAAGAGGCTGTCAACGACCCGCTGAAGACAGGCCAGCACTACCACTTTCTTATATAATTCATAAGATGTACATTGCTGTGACAACGGGGTGAGAGGGGAGAGGTAGAGGCGAGGAGGATAAGGGGAGGGGATGAGAGAAGGAAGGGGAAATATGAGGCGCAAGGTGAGGGGGAAAGCGAGGGGAATCACAGGAGTCGACACCACGAACGAGTTTATGTTGTCCCTTCCCTTCCTTTCACCCTCCCTTTCCCCTTTCCCCCCCTCCCTTTACCCCCTCCCTTTACCCCCTCCCTTTTCCTCTCTTCCCTCCTTCCCTCCCTCCCTCTCCCGTCTGCGTGTATTTCCCCCATTCTTAAACGCCTGAAGTCAATCTTATTTACAATTATTTTAATACAGTACCAATGATGGTATTGCAAGAGTACCATAATATAATTCAGGAAACTATGCACCAGTTGAGAGACAGTCGAGAGGCGGGACCAAAGACCCAAAGCTCAACCCCCGCAAGCACTTAACTAGGCGAGTACAACCCTTAAGGTTATAGCACGGGCACCACAATACAACACCCACGGTGTTCTATACTACAACGAAATAATATACAGCGAATAAACTTTATCATAAGACATTTCCCTTATAATTCCACAACGAGCACAAACACTTTGATAACTTGGGTATCATTCCACCAAACGTTCCCTGAATACACGGCTCTAACACATTAAGCTCTACGCCACAGAATACTATATATATTTATATATAAAAAACAGTAATTTAACATAATTCATCAAGAGCAAAAACATTGACAAATCATCACAAGTACTTTTGTTACAATTATACAGCACGGTTCTCTACACACATTTTTAACATCGGTTTCTAAAATTTTTACAGTTTTCTAACTGTATAACATTTAATTAATTGACACTTGCCTACCTTTTTTTACGCCCCATTTTCTATGACGCTGCTATAATGTCTTCTTGATTACTTAGTTCACAATTACACACACACACACACACACACACACACAGCCGGCGAGTAGCCGGTGGCCGAGCAGACAGCACGCTGGACACGTGATCCTGTGGTCCTAGGTTCGATCCCGGGCGCCGGCGTGAAACGATGGGCAGAATCTCTTTCACCCTACGCCCTCTGTTACCTAACAGTAAATAGGTACCTGGGAACTAGTCAGCTGTCACGGGCTGCTTCCTGATGTGGTGTGTGTGTGTGTGTGTGTGTGTGTGTGGGGTGAGGGGGAAAAAGTAGTAGAAACAGTTGAGTGACAGTTGAGAGGCGGCCCGAAAGAGCAGAGCTCAACCCCCGCAAGCACAACTAGGTGATTACAACTAGGTGAATACACACACACACACACACACACACACACACACACACACACACAACCATTACCAGCGTTAACTACGTACTGTTAACTTACGACTAAATCATCACTAATTATAGTATCATGTCAGCTATAGTCATCATATAATTGACGACCTCACACCGCGAATTATACCATCTTGTCCTTCTCATTTCATCAGGAAAGCTTCACAAAAGTATGAAAACGTCTCTAAATATATTACGTTAATTAGTAAATCTGTACATATACTCTTATACAGCAGATATATTATGCAATACTAAAAATATGTAAAACTTGTGCTGCAAGTAGAAAGGATGCTATTCTGTATTAACCTTTTTGCGGGCTCGCCATAGCCCGTGCTACATGACACTTCGTTCTGAGTAGCTAAATCTAAAAAACAACAATTGTATTAACTCTCTTCCCAAAATACGACATCTTTAGCAGAATACATTATATTGTAGTTTGCAGCCGAGGACAGTTATTGCAAAACTCTGCAGTTAAACATGTTTTAATGTATGTGGTTAGAGTAAAAAGCGTATTGGTCTTAAAATAACTTCCAGTACTCTTTAAAGAGCGCTTTCTGTTCCCAGAGCCGTTCTGACACGAGCTTTAAAGCTACGTGTTGGGGTATTCCACTCGCTTCCCGCGCGAGGGACAGTCTTCGTCCCTGTTTACTGCGCCCGCTTTCCCCTCTCTCTAGGGACAATTACAGGGGGTCTGTAGTTTGCTTTATAACATTCACAGACTGGAAAATGTAGGGACGACGACGTTTCGGTCCGTCCTGGACCATTCTCAAGTCGATTGTGACTGAGAATGGTCCATGACGGACCGAAACGTCGTCGTCCCTTTCTAATGTGTGGTTTGGTCAACATATTCCAGCCACGTTATAATGACTCCTCGTCCGCAACATTCACAGGCATCAAGCGCTTAATGGTCAGCTCTAATGGCCACAAATAAAGCTCTAAAGTTAGGTTCCAAAGGTGGTTATAATGTGTAGATGCAAGCGTGCATGTGGAGGGAAGGTAGGGGTAGTGGAGCCGAGAGCGAGAGGCAACAGTGGTCTACACTACCAGGGGGTCGTGCAGGGCTACAGGCAGGCCAGAGCAGCGTGGGGGGCTGGCTGGTGCGTGGCCACAGACTCCTGGTTACTGTATATTACTTTGTATAATAAAGTATACATACTGTATAACCGGAAATATAAAACACTAACTCTTCATTTAATAAAAACAATTACTAAAGTTCGTGTTTTTACAAGTCTAAAGTATATAGTAATTACAAAAAATCCCATTAGAGTGTATTTAAAGTTTTCCGATGGGTTATGGCAGTGCAAATGTGTTTTAATAACCCACTATGATGCACTGTTGTGATGCAAGTCTGTAAAGCATGGCTTCACTATTGATATCCTTTCTTGTCGTCCACACACCAGCTTCCCCGCCCTCGCTACGAGACGGTACGAGGTGCTCAAGCACAGACAGTTTCTTCGATAAAATATGGAATTAGTTTTGATTTAAATTGGCGGAAGGCGGCGCCGCAAACGCCAGGCCACAATGCTGGATAATTATCTCAAAGAGTGAATCTCCCGGGGTAAAAATGTCTATACATTTGTGGGGAGTTTTGAGAGTCACGACCAAAGACTACAACTTGAGACGAACTGGCGGCCGCCCACATGTAGGTTGGAGCAGGAGTCTGAGGTCTGAGTTGAGCCCCACACACGGGGCTCAACCGCGCCATTGAGCGCTACATTTCCAGGATTTTCTGACAGTAACTTTCAGAGTCCCAGACGAGGACTCGCCACAAGTTATCGCAGAAACTGTCCAGCCAACGAAAGAAAAAAATAAATTTGTGCTCACTTGGTTATGAGTTTTCTAGCGGGAGGAGGAAGAAGACGGGAAGAAATGAGTTAGTTAAAAAACGGCAGTTAACGGTCCATTCACCGTTAACACGGCCGTGTTAACGATAGTTAACACGGCAGTTAACGGCTTCTGGGGCATGAAGTCACTTCGTGAAATATTAGTGTTAATAGCCTGACTCAGCTGACCAAGTCTGGCACCGCAAGCCTGAGGCTTTGTCTGAAGGGGGTCAAAGTGAGCTTTTGCATTATATCATCTTTCTTCTGTGGAGAGAATTTAGGGCTTGAAGTTACAGTTCATAAAGCCTATCATTTTTTACGTGAGTCCACAACAATTTTAAAGCAATACAAGGTGTAGTCTTTAGTTTACATCTGCAAGTGCGCGGCAGTGTGCCAAGCGTCTGTTAATACACTACGATGCTGTGACCTGTGGATGCCTCATGCACTCCTACCGAGTTCCGTCTGTGTACTTAAGCAACCCTAAGTTGAGCGGTGTGAGGAGGCCAGCCAGCAAGAAGGGTGAGCGAGACAAATTGAGAGATTCAGCGAGGAAACATAAGAGGAAGGAAGAAAGAGACACACCGGATGATCATTGCTTCATGACCGCCTGGCCGGAATGCTGCCCACACACCGACAATGATCTGGGGCCAGATTCACGAAAGCACTTACGCAAGCACTAACGAACCTGTACATCTTTTCTCAATCTTTGGCGGCTTTGTTTCCAATTATTAAACGGTTAAAGAGCTCCGAAGCACCAGGGGCTTGTTTATAACAATAACAACAGTTAAATGGGAAGTTTCCATGCTTGTAAACTGTTTAATAAATGTAACCAAAGCCGTCAAAGATTGAGGAAAGATGTATACGTTCGTAAGTGCTTGCGTAAGTGCTTTCGTGAATCTGGCCCCTGGTTGTTAAGAGTGCAAGAGCCGTCTCCTCGACACCGTCAACTAAGGGCGGTACACAGGCGAGACGCCAAGACGCGCCAGCCGGCACAACCACCTTACCTATCTATCTTGGACTTCTTGAAGGCGCAGGTGAAGTAGTCGAGGGGCTTGTTGGGGACGTCCTCCGCCATCAAGTTGGGCAGGTGCAGCCGTTCAAGGATGACCTCGGACCAGTTGGTAGACGGGTTGTTGTGTGCCTACAGGGGGAGAAGACATGGTGTTATCTCGAAGCGATGACGGTTACCCAACAAGGACCACCTCGAGGCTTATGTCCTCTGAGAAGCGGTAAAGATATTGACGTTATGCTCAGGAGTTGGAGAGTTAGTCAACCGTGAGCAAACAGGTTCTCACCCCACAGGTCATAAGGGCACTCAACATGTTTACAATGAATGACTCTACACTAAGATTATCTTGACAGACTGAGCCGGAGAGTTAGTAGTTCAGTTGAGGGATTAACAAGCTAAGGAGGAGATAAGACTGAAGTTTGCGCTGGAGGAGAAGTTTTAGACTTAATAGCAAGATAAGTCAAAGAAATGTGCAGTGTCGAAGGTGTAAACATGAACCAGGAAGGTCAAAGACCACACGCACTTAATATTAGGATTTCTTATATAGAAGCAATAAGTGTGTGAATTGAATCCCTTTCCATGAGAGTATTATACAAAACAGAAAATTCCACAGTGCTTGACTTCAACCTCTAGACAAAGTGGGCAGGGGAGGCAGGCCTGGAGCAGACGCCAGCAGACACCCTGGCCACAAGTCTGCTTGCACAGCGCCACGATGCTCACCCATTATAACACTTGGAGGCAATAAGATCGGGGATACCAACGCTTGCGGATTTCATTACTGGGGAATACCACTGCCGCCGCTGGAGGGATTGCACTGCGCCAAGTCTCTCAGAGTACCCCATAAAAGTCACAGTTGATGACTGTTGTGCGTGTGAGTGAAGGGAGAAGGCGGCAGCCGCCGGGAATGACGGTGCGGCCAAGAAGGAAGATAAATACAAAGCTTAACAAGCCGCGTTAAAGACTGAAAGGCGTCGCCGGGTGTATGTAGGGAGTCAACTCACGGTGGATGAGCGGACTCTCAGCAGCTTGCGGAGCTCCCCCCCTGGCTGGCGGACCTGCAACACCACACACAGGCCAAGTAACACCCACCTCCTCATCCTCCACGTCACTCATCACCATTTATAATATTTTAATTGGTATTGTGAGGGATACAAGACAGACTAAGACGATGCATCAGGTGGACCAGCCGCCTTGCGAGCATCCAGGGACCCCCAGCGGCACCCAACACCACACACTTCAACACCAACACCACACAAGAATTGCAATTTCTAAATCCGCCAGGGATTCTGCCAAGCACTGGCCAAGCTTCTAACCAGTTTTACACAGTTTCCGTTGTCATCCGTGGCTATGGGCCGGGCGTGGCTATGGGTCGTGCCTTTACACTCGGACCCAGATAGTACTCTTGTCACGTAAATTACGAAATGTATACAAGTTCTTAATATAAATGAATGCATGCATATACAACACCACACACACGCATACACCATACCTACCTTTCTCACATGTAGGGGTGTCTTATTTATATATATAATCTGTATATAATATATAATATAAATATATATATATATAATTATTAGATATGGCCTCTTCCCCCTCTCCTAGCTTTTCTCCCTCAGAAAATATAACATTACGAAGCACTGAAAACTGGAAATCATACAGAAAACAAATACCCGTTTTCATACCATGAAAATCCCAAGAGGGAGGTGGTGGGGGGGGGCCATTAAAGATGCCGATATTTCTAATAGGTTGACATTGGGGCCGACCCCGACTAGCCATATAAACCCACAAAGGCCGTGACGAGGGTTCCCTTACCCCTCTGAACTATAGCCTGAAGGGCGGGGCCCAACACCTGCAGGAGGGGGGGAGAAGGACTCACTCCCCCCCCAACTAACCTGGAGGGGCGCTCTCATGTTGAGCTCCTCGGCGAAGTGACAGAGCACGGGCCAGGGGGCACTAAGCTTGATGAAGCAGATCACTTTCTTCCCAGTCTCCTCCGTCTCCTGCACACACAAGGGTCAGAGATCACGTTAGTTTTAATGCAAGTAATCATCTATACACAAAAAATAATCCCAAGGCGTCTAATACCACAATTTAAAAACAGAAAAATGCACACAAAATATAAGTAAAAAATGTGGTTGTTGGGACCCTGTTTGGGGGTCGATCTCTCACTGTTGAAGTTCGGTGAAAATCAAAGTTCAACAAGTCCCCAGGGATAAACAGAATATTTCTTAGCGCGTAAAGAGCAGCTTAGAGAGCCTATCACTTGCATATATAATTAAAGTCGACCACAGTGCCAGAACCGCGGGAAATACAATCACTTTTCTATTATAAAAAAAGAGTTATTGTATTTATAATCACGTCATTCGTCTACATCTTGAAAGCAGATTAATAGAGGATTCACAACATGGCTGTACGAAGGGCAGCTCGTGTTTGATCAATTCTCTCTCATATTCCTTTTCATTATATTTCAAGATAGTGGAAAGGCTCGAGATGTTATATACTTGACTTCAAATACTCTCACATGATTCGTCACAAAGCTAGAGGCACGTGGTACTGGGAGAGCTATCCTAGGATGGATTAGAGCTTTGTTATTTCAAAGGAAGAATTGAATGTTTACGTGGAGTGCCCCGGGGCTCTTTCATGGAACCTCTGTTGTTTATTCTGTATATAAACAATTTTGAGTGGATTCAACAGCAATATTTGCCAATTTGCTGAAGAAAAAAAATGGCCTGGAAATAAATCAAGACAAACTCGTCGAAAGAAAATTCAGAGAAGCTTTTAAAATGATCGAAAGATTGACAGGTGCTGAAACGCTTGTCGTCTCGGATTGGGTAATGGTAGCTTAATTGGTATCAGCTGAACAGTGCTTACCAACACTTACACACCACCAACTACAGGATGGGATGGGGGGGGGCGTAACAGCTGTTACGGGCTGCTTCCTGGTATGTGTGTATACTCATCTAGTTGTGCTTGCCAGGGTTGAGCTCTGGCTCTTTGGTCCCGCCTCTCAACCGTTAATCAACTGGTGTACAGGTTCCTGAGCCTACTGGGCTCTATCATATCTACATTTGAAACTGTGCATGGAGTCAGCCTCCACCACATCACTGCCTAATGCATTCCATCTGTTAACTACTCTGACACTGAAAAAGTTCTTTCTAACGTCCCTGTGGCTCATTTGGGTATTCGGTTTCAACCTGTGTCCCCTTGTTCGCGTACCACCCGTGTTAAACAGTTTATCTTTATCTACCCTCTGTGTGTGTGTGTGTGTGTGTGTGTGTGTGTGTGTGTGTGTGTGTGTGTGTGTGTGTGTGTGTGTGTGTGTGTGTTTTAGAGAGTGAGTGTGAAAGCGCGCGCGTCAGTGTGAGATATATATTCAGAGATGGGAGAGAATGGGGGAGAGGTGAGAGAACGCCCCTCCACCACCACTCACCTCCTCCATGTGGAGTCCAGCTTTCATAAGAGAATTCATGAACCTCAGCCTCCAGGACTCGTGCTTAAAGGCCCTCTTCTCACTGGCCGAGAGCGTCCGGTTGAGGGTCTTGTCCCGCTCCTGACGAGTCTTGCGGCCGGCGCCCGCAGCGTCCTCGTACACCAGCACGTAGTCGATCCGGCGGCGGCCGTCCCTGAAGAAGGTGTCCGCGTCCTCCCGGTGCTTGGGGGCGGGAGGACGGGCTGGGGTCAGGCCGCCGCTGCTGCGCCAGCTGTCAGCGTCACCGCCGTGCTGTGGAAGTACACACCTGTGAGTAACACCTGTCACAACAAACCCAAAACACACACACACACCTGTGTATCAAATGAGTCTCTTCCAACATTTCCCTGATCTGTTGACCAGACCACACACTAAAAGGTGAAGGGACGACGACGTTTCGGTCCGTCCTGGACCATTCTCAAGTCGTTCCATTCTCAAGCCATTCTGACTTGAGAATGGTCCAGTACGGACCGAAACGTCGTCGTCCCTGTCACCTTCTAGTGTGGTCTGGTCAACTTACTTTAGCCACGTTATTGTGCCTCGCCGCCTGCAAACAGCTATATATCATCAGATAAGGAACAGGAAACTGTAGAGAAACATTTAGTTCCAGTTTGGTCCTCAAATAACACCAGCGGTGGACTCGTTCTCTTGAATAATGACGAATTAGCCCTAAAGTAATAGTCCACTTTGACGGCAGAGCGACGGTCTCGATTCATGCAGGTCGGCGTTCAATCCCCGACCGTCCAAGTGGTTAGGCACCATTCCTTTCCCCCTTCCCCGTCCCATCCCAAACCCTTATCCTGCTTCCTCCCAAACGCTATATAGTCGTAATGGCTTCCTCCTGATAGTTCCCTTACATTAGCCCTAACTTCTAAGGACTATGGTTGGGACGAGATTGATGGAATGATAAGACCGTTCAAGTGCTTAAGACCGCTGTCAGATGACCTGGTAAGTGGATGGATGTAAATCATTGAACAAAACTATACTGTCTATGAATTAACCTTTCGAACCACAAAAGGATTTTCAGTTACCATTTACAACTATAAAATATGAAAAGTGAATTGAACATGAATTCCAAAGCCCAGAAATATGCACTATAATAAAAATTAAAGGGATTTAATTCTGCCCAAACTGAACAGCAATGAAAGAGGAGATACAATTAACACACACACACACACACACACACACAAGCACCATAGAATACGTATAGCAGCACCAGGCACGACCACTGAGACACACACACACACACACCCACCCAGTTGCTCACCTGGGAGTGTTTGGCGGGATCCAGGTAATCCCTGGCGTCGTTCCACAACTCCTTGAGGACTGCACCGCTCAGCTCTGCCCACCCTGGCCCAGTACTCTTTCCCGCCCAATCCTCACCCACCGGGGACTCCGCCCACTCCTCACCCTCGGGGGTCTCCGCTCTGCTGCTGTCAGGGGTAGCTGTGGTGGGTTCCAGCGAGTCCTCCTTTTTCCTGTATCCCATCATGACCACGCCGCCGTCGTCGAAGTCGAGGGTATTCCTCGTCACCCTCTTGGCCCTTGTCTGCTGCCTAAGCAAGTCTACCTTCTCGTCCTCTTCACACAAGTGTGCCCTTATACTGGCCCGAGACAGGCAAGCCTTTGATTCATCATCATCATCGTCTACACATGACGCTGCCTCATCTAGCTGCCCTAACATGCCTTCCCTCTTGCTGGAAGTAACCGTTTGGTCTTCATCTGGTGAAATGTTTCCGCTGTCGAGTGTGGCCGACTCTGTTGTCTTTGGATGAGAGGCGAAGAGTACTCGCCTGTTGCCACACTCCACCGAGGCTGTGCCTTGGCCCGCCTGGCCCGCCTGGCCCGCCTGGCCCACCTGGCCCGAACTGCTGGCACCACACTCCACCTTGGCCATAGCCTGGCCGGTGGCATCCTTGCTTCCCACTGGCCACTCCATGATGGTAAACTACCCAGGATGTTCTTATTTGCCAGGAAGTTCTATTGCTCCTTTGTTTTATATTGTGTTGCGAAGCTGCCATATATATACATATAATGTACGGCATGGGTCCAGGTGTTGCATTCTGAGGAAATGTCTCTTCCCATTTCTTGGTGTGTTTAGCAGCAACTTGTCACCTGTGTGCGCACGCTGACAAGATTCATCAAAGTGTTATTCTCGTCACTAACAATCACTTGCGTTCTTTGTTATAAGTTTCAAACTTTCCCTTTAACCAATCATTATTGTTACAATCATCTGCAATACAAATAATTTAGATTTGTCTAGTAATTTTTAAAAATTTCACTGAGCGAAACTTTTGATTTGTTTTTTCTCACAGTTCTTAAAAAGTTGTCATAAGAAATTCGAACATTACATTCCATCGCGATGAAAAACAAACTATTTTCCACAGTTCCAACCGCCAAAAACATGGCCGTATTAAATACAGGTATTTAGAAATTTATATAATTTATAATATTACCAATACTAACCATTTTTTGTTAAACTATAAAAAGGTATACAACTCAAGAAAGCGGCTAACAAGTCATTAAAAACAACCACAATTTCTTCCCAATTATAACTGCATTTTAAGCAAATTAATGAAATGCTTTAGTGTCAGGGAGTTGAGTTGCAAGTTAAAATGCTACCAAGTACCAGTCTTTGGTACCCAAGACACATTGCAGGATGCAAGGTATAGCCAGGTGCACCCCTGCAGGTCCCAGGACATGCGTCTTGCATGCAAGTGAGCACAGGCGGACAAATGCACCACGAACTAGGGTGCTGGTGTGACCCAAATGAATGATAGTAAATTAGTTATTCTCTCTTAAAAGTACGAGTCTAGCGGAAGCCTTTATGAGCGAGTATTAGAAGCATAGATAGAGGAGAGACACTGCGACGCCGATACATAACGGATGCTCCCAGAGGAGTCCGATAATCATGTGAGGCTGGCAGTATTTCAATGACTCTGCGGCGACCGGAGACTGATAGCAGGAGGGAGTCCTGAAGCTACCACACAACAATGAGTAGTTGTAGAGGACCAGAGGGAGTGTCACGGGGGGAAAGTAGACCCAAGTCGGCTCAAGGATGCTGCGAGAATCGGTTATGTTCTACATGATGTCAGAGAGTGGTTGACGGGGGAGCCATTGAAACGTGACATCGGGTTGATAAGAGCTCAAGCTGGGGAAGGGGGGGACTTCCGCTGTCACTACCAGCTGACCAAGGTGTGGAATTCGGGACTTGGTATCGTGAGAGGTATGTATATGCCGCTATGAAGTGATTAACTTTGGGCCAGTAGTATGAGAATGATAAGTTCATCTCCTGAGACGAGGATGGTATAAACATCAGTATAAACTTATGGTATTTTATTATGGACAAACAGTACAGAATAAAACGCTAAGAAGAGCAGCAAAACAGTGTCCACTAAGCTACCAGGCTGTGTGGAACACCTTCGAAATATTAGTAGACACAAAGTTACCAAGATTACTACAAACGAGACACTATATACTCCCACAACCGCTGGCCCAAGAGCTTGGATTTACTCAATGGAAACCAAGACCCACAATACATCATTCCAAGATGGAGAGTGAGTCTAGACCTCTCCCCTCGCCCTCAAAATAAAAAAAAACAAGGACCTTAGTCGCACTTAAGGGGTCACACACCAGGCTCCGTGGCGGCTGTCAAGATCACTTAGGGAACAATTTAAGTAACACGTATCATCATAAACCGACACTTGATGAAAGTGTTACTACAGTTTACAAGTTAGTCTGTAACATGGCTAATTACCCAGTGAGCTTTTAAGTAACACTTGCATCAAACAGGAGCACTTTCTGTAGCATTATCAAGCGTTGCAACACTTCACTGACGCTTACAGCAACACACGTCTACTCGACAAATAAAAATGTTATTTATAAAACTAAATTATATCAATGTTTATGCATCCCCCCCCCCCCAACATAGAGCCGAGGGGAAAATATATCAACTATTTCGCTTGTAGATGCAACAGTTCCGTCTAAGAGGGGGCCTGCACTGCAGCACTTTCCTTCGAATCATTCCAACCTCCTTCCAAGTAACGGAGCAAATAAAAGTTGATTTGCTGTAGCACAACAGTGAACAGTAGCACTTGTGACACTCGAATAATACAGTAGGGGGGGGGGGCCAACAGTAGCACTTGGGGAGACTAAAATACAACAGTGAGGCATCGCGAAACGGTATTGTACAACAGACACATCAACAGCGACTGTAAGACGTTGTGGCGTTTTGACTGAGGGCGCCACGCACTAGTATCGACTTGAGGGGTTTGCGTTGGTGATAGTCGTGTGGTGGTGGTAGCGACTGCGCGACGAGGCGGCGATTGGTGGTGGTGGTGGTGGTGGTAGGGGATTGTTGTTACCGCGCGGACAGTCAAAGGAGGACTGGTTGATTGATGGTAATGAACTGTGACTTGACTGACTGGCTGGCTGGCTGGTGGGAGACTGGCCAGACCCACACGAGGCAGCGGAAGTCGCTTAGATACTGCTGGCCTCACCAACCGTGTGTGCGCAAGATTAGTGCACCACTACTGTTCCACACTAATTTCCTCTCTCCAACACACTCACAAATCATTTCCCACAAATAAATCCGTCCCCCACACACACACACACACACACACACACACACACACACACACACACACACACACACACACACACACACACACACACACACAACACACACACAAACACACACAAACCTGATACACCTGGGAGCCTGATAGCTGAGCGGACAGCGCTCTAGGCTCTTAATCCTTGGGTCCGGGTTCGATCCCCGGTGATGGCAGAAACAAAATGGGCCGTTCCTTTCACTCTGATGCCCCTGTTACATAGCAGTAAATAGGTACCTGGGAGTTAGACAGCTGTTACGGGCTGCTTCCTGGATGTGTGTGTGTGTGTGTGTGTGTGTGTGTGTGTGTGGGGGGGGGGGTGGGGGGGGAGATTAGTTAGTAATAGTTGATTGACAGTTGAGAGGTGGGCCGAAAGAACAGAGCTCATCCCCCACAAGCACAACTAGGTGCACACACACACACACACACACGGAACCAAAGAGCCAAATCTCAACCCCCTGCAAGAAGAACTAGGTTAGTACACACCCTTCCCCCCCCCCCCCTCCTCGCTATCCACAAACCCAAACACCCTCCCCCCCCCAAACACCCTCCCCCCCCCCCCAAACAAGAAAGTGGGAAGAGACTAACACAGACCTTCGTTACTGACAATTGATCAAATCCAAAAGAGCCGTGACGAGGATTCGAACCTCTCGGACGCAGGTTCGAATCCTCGTCACGGCCCTTGTGGATTTGTTCATTTGATGCATCACGCTATTGTGATTTCAGTGTGTGAAGCGTGACTGACAATTATCCTATACGAAGTACTGTTAAGATTGTCACTCAGAAACGTCGTCGTCCCTTCAACTTCTAGTGTGTGGTCTGGTCAACATTGTCACTCAGCCCTCGATTAAATTAGGTCAACTTTTGTCCGTCACGGTAAATCAACGTTACAAATCCAACCTACTTGAGGTTATCTTGAGATGATTTCGGGGCTTTAGTGTCCCCGCGGCCCGGTGCTCGACCAGGCCTCCACCCGCAGGGAGCATCCCGTGACAGCTGACTAACACCCAGGTACCTATTTTACTGCTAGGTAACAGGGGCATAGGGTGAAAGAAACTCTGCCCATTGTTTCTCCCTGGCGCCCGGGATCGAACCCGGGACCACAGGATCACAAGTCCAGTGTGCTGTCCGCTCGGCCGACCGGCTCTGTGACAAGTGACGGCTCACAAACATTTACGCTCTATATGCCTCGGACTCTATAGATCTGTTGGCTTGCTCGAGTTAGTACTGTTCTGGTTAGGTTCGGAGGTTGGACTATGATTGCTGGCACACTCTAAGACAACGGCTGGAGGACCATGTTAAACAAGCACTAACCCGGCTCTAGGAGCGGTACACACACACACACACACACACACACACACACAGAGGACAACGTCAGCAGCTGCTCCAAACTCATACGGAATGACGTCGAACTTCACACAGTTACGAAAGGAAAGTTGATAAGATAGAGGCAGGACGTGAGAGGAAACGTCGACAGCTTATGAACTCTTCCCTGATCCCTAAAGCTCACCCCCCATCTCCCTCTCCTCCAAGTTAGCAGGTCTAGATGCGAACCATATGACGCCCTGACGCCCTGGAACCCCACCCCCAACACATTCCCCCTAAAGGGGAGCTCCAGGCGGGGGCCAGCCTTACCCCTGGGGGTGCAGCAGACAGGGGGGGGACAACTCCCCCCAGTGTGTGCAGACAACACCTCAGATGTGACCTGCTATCAGAGCACGTCTCATAGATTAGAGAATGTTTTGATGGTATACTAACCAATATTTAAGTCTGTATACAGCCACGTACTACAGCCCCTCACACACTCATTATACCGGGCTTCTGCATGTTGCTGCTGCTCTATGTTGCCAAGTGAATCAATAAGTGAAAAGTATTTCCCGGTCCCGCCGCCCCCCCCCCTCTCACCCTGGCGGGTCGTCCCGCCGCCCCCCTCTCACCCTGGCGGGTCGTCTCCACGCCCCCCTCTCACCCTGGCGGGTCGTCTCGACGCCCCCCTCTCACCCTGGCGGGTCGTCCCCGCCTCCCCCTCTCACCCTGGCGGGTCGTCTCGACGCCCCCCTCTCACCCTGGCGTGCCTATTCATTTCTTACGCTCTAAAAATGGGGGACCCCCATTCTCAAAAAGAGGGACCCTTCCTATACCCCTTAAAAGAGGGACCCCAAAACTTAAAAAGGACCCCTTCCTTCTCTTAAAAAGAGAGACCCCCCCTCCCTTTCCCTTACTTCAGAAACTTTCAGCAATTGTGTCATGAAATGAAAAAGCCAGCAAGAGCCTGGTGGCTGTCTTAACCTGTCATGGTAATTAATCTCCGTTGTAGGCGCACACTCCACTGTCTTGGTCAGGAGACGAAGCGACTGAACGCCGACCTGCATGAAGCGAGACCGCTGTCTACCGTCCAGCCCAAGTGGTTGGACGGTTGTGTCCTAGCTACCACCTGTTACTCTGGCCGCACATATGTAACAGGTCACAGTGTGCTTCCTCGTAATACCTGACCATTATTTCCAATGGTTGGGGAAGGAATTATAGCGAAGTAGAAGTAAAAAAATCCGAATAAGTAATCCTAATTTGGGAGAAGGGACCAGCAAAGAGAGCTGCTTCCTAGCAGAGGCATCTGCTAGTTTCCTAGAATATACATTTTGTATAGCAATACAAAATCGCATACAGATCCGCTGTATACATGTTCCTCCCGATGAAGACCGTGCGTGTGCGCGCGTGCATGCGTGCGTGTGTAATCAATACCCAGCTATCTCTTATCTTGGAGGCCAGGCACTCTCACACCAGCATCATACAGCCTCTCGGCTTCCCCTGTTGATTAGTATAATACAATTTCCTTTTCTCGCAAGACGTCACGTGCTGGAGAACTGTATCACGTTGGGTCTGGAATACACGCGGCTGTTCCACTGTCAAGTCAATGACCACCATTCGGTGCCACAAGTTTCTAGGAGAGTGGGGTTCAGAGATGGCTGATTAGTCCAACCCGAGCCGTATTAGTAAGGTACTCGTAAAGAAGGCGTACTTATTAGAACAAGCATGTACTTATCTTATGTCTCCAAAAATACGACTCCGAATTTCCTTGTTTTAAATCTATACAAAATAATGAAACACGCAAGCTTAACACTTCATTAACTTGCGTGAATATATATTTTATACAACACTATAACACCGATGGTTCTTAAACATGGTACAAGAACCGTGAACCATTTTTACATTCGGCATCAAGCCGAGTGCTGCACCACACCTGACCAACTCGCCCCCCCCTCCTCACCCCCCCACACACACACACACACACACACACACACACACACACACCCACACTTGCCAGGGGGACATCACATACCGGCGGGGGAAGAAAAAAAACAGAGCATCACTAACTCACCTGGAAATCAAGATCATCCTCGTTGATAAAGTTACAATGGGCCTCGGGGTCCATGTTGGTGTAGCTGCCGATGCTGCCATAGGTCCCGTCCCGCACGATGCTGCCGTACGTACGGTCTCGCTGGAGCTGGCCCGTCCCGTTCAGCTCGTACCGTTCGCTCTGACGGGTCCCGAACGGCATCGTTTGCATCGAGTTGGTTTGTTCAGGGTTAGAGAGCGGGAGGGGGGGTTGATAGTTGTTCGAACAGAACCGTCTCCAATTGCGTTATCACTGAAATGCAGTCTCAGTATAAAAATAGTCTAGTATATGGCAAAAATTTCTTGTGTCAGATGAGAGGATGGATTTCAATTATCTTTATTCTTGGATGTAGTTAGGTACACAAATACACTGAGCTAATGTACCATTGCAGATCTTTAATGTAAAAGTGACGGTAAACCAGCCCCCACGCCCACACAGCGAAGTAGCTATCCGGGGAACAGTTCAGGGCAGGCAGTACAAGCCAGCCCAACTGTGGACTCCCAAGCCATTTGGCGGGAACACGGGCGGCCGGCGACTCTGGGGGCGCCGTCGTCGGGGAAAGCCTCCGCGTGTGAACACGTTCATCACTAATGAGCACTCAATGGACTTGACACTTCCGTGACTCTTGGATGAGAGATTCAGGCGTCGGGACGACCCCCTTTGACGCAAATTAGGTTGACACAGCGCGACACCAAGTCTGGAAATGAGAAAACATTGTTAGTTCCGAGAACCTCTCAAGCTATTTCCTATTTTTTAATATAATACGTGTATAATATTCCCTTACTCTAACCTTAGCTCTAATGTTATTCCCTCCCTACCCCGTCCTGGGTAGGGAGGTAAATAATAGCCTTGTTCCCCAACAAGGCAAGGGAGGGTATTACTTCCCACTCTCTACCCATAACCTTGCTCCCTTTACCTCTACCCCTGCCACCCCTCGCCTGCCTCTCCTCAAACGTCTGGCTTTAATTCACACACCAGCCCCCTCCGCCCACCCGCCCACCAGGAGCATGTTATTAGTCGAGGTGGGCGGCCCCTCGAGTGCAATTATTGCCAGGCCTCGTCTGCCACGCCGCCCCCAACCCACCAGATAAGACACGACCCCCACCGATACATTGCATGCATTATACAATGATACATACAATGTACCTGTTAACAGAACGAAAATTCGCACGAAAACCGGATAAAAGGACTAAATTCGTACATTTGAGAGATACGTTTAACATGCGTGATATATACTTGTATATAATTCAGACACGCGCACGAGGACAAACTTTACCGCGAGGAGCAGTTAGGCGAGTACAGTC